AGGGCTGGAGTTGGGGCTGCTGTCCACCTTGAGCTGGTACACATCAGACAGTGAGCTCTGGTTGCTGTTCTCATCTGCAGAAACAGCACCTGGTGAAGAAGAGCACCTTGACCCAGGGGCACAGACAGCCCAGGGCAGCACTGAAAGCTGGGGTCTTGCTGAGAAGGCAGAGCACAGTCAGAGATTCAGTCAGGGGATTAACTGTTCCCCATCAGCCCAAGGGCTGTCAGGCACAGGACTGTGCTCCAGAACACAGTGGGAATCATAAGCACAACTGGCCAATGGAGAGAGAATGCTCCTGCCCTGGGAATGAGAATGAGCACTGCCAAATCCCACATCTGCATCTTGGGACGGCCCTGGGCATCCGAGTGCAGGAATCTCCTGCTGTGTACCAGGGTTTTGTTCCTCCTCTGTGAAGCAACATGTGGATTAATGCTCAGCACCTGTCTTCCAATGAGGAGGCAGGCTTGGCATACTCCTCCCCAAACTGCTGACCTGCAACATAACTCCACCACATCTCCTCGAAGTAGCAGCATATTCCTGATTTTCCTTAGCAGAGCAGGGGTTGGGCAGATGTGTACACTCTACTTCAGCAGTGAGTCCAGCACTGCCAGAGCCTCTCCTGGCTGTACCACAGTGCCCAGACCAAGAGCAAGGCAAGGGACATCCTCTGTCCCTTCACCCTTGGCTGCAGGTGGCTACTGGCCTATCCCCAGCAGAGACTGGAATGGGGGGAGAAGAAAACCCCACTTTTCCAGTTAGCTGTGAAGCTTCCCACAGAAGATACCAGAAACCATTAAGATTCTCTGACAGCAAAAATGAACAGTTTGGACAGGGACAATCCAGAAGTGGATCAGCCCAATTCCACAGCTCAACTCCACAGCTCTCCACTCCACACCAGTGCTCAGAGGCAAATACTGCTCTTCCCCATACAGGCAGCACACAGAACCAGCAACGTCCCAGCTGCTGTACAGCCTTGGAGTCTTTCCCCACGTTGAAGGGAGCTCAGCCAGACCTACCTTGGAACTCCAGAAGGAGGGAGGAGTTGGCAGAGGTGTCAGCTGGGAAGCCATTGGGCTCTCGGGCTGTGCTGCTACTCGATTTGGATTTCTCTTTCTTGAGAAGAAAAAGAAAAGCACAAACACAATGTCAGAGAAACACATGCTGCTCCAGAGGAACCATTCCCCTTTCTGTCTCCAGAAGCCCAAAGGGATATGCTCCAGATGGTCTCCTCCCTTGGCTTTGGGGGCACATTCCTAAGTCAGAGGCAAAACTCGATCTATGAAGGGACTGGGAATCAGGAAAGAGACGCCCATCTAGGAATGACACCGAGTAAAGCCAGTCCTTGGAGGAGTCAGGCAGAGTCTTAGGGGGAGCAGGACGGGGTTCAAGGAAGCTCAAGGGGCTCGACAGGGGCTTGATAGTTCGGGGGGGGGCTCAGATCGGCTGAAGGTGCTCTTTGGAGCTGGGGGAGGGGGCCCAAGAAGGCTTGATAGGGGCTCATGGCGCTTCAGAAGGGACTCAGCGGGGTCTGGGTGGGTTCGGGGGTCAGCTTAAGGAGGGATCAGGGGCTTGAGGGTCTCAGAGGATCTCTACAGGGCAGGAGGGGCTCGGTGGGACCTCAAGGGTGCTCAGCAGGGCTGGGAGGGCTCAGCAGGGACTCGGGTGCTGGCTCGGGGAGGACTCAGAGCGGTTTTGTGGCGCTCGGCAGAACTGGGGGGCTCGGAGGTAGCTCGGGGGGCTTCGGTGGTCGGTAGGGCTGTGAGAGTCAGAGCTCAGCTTAAGCGGGGTTGTTAAGGGAGTTAGGCTGGCCGTGGGCGGTGACTCCGGGCTCGTCTCCACGCGCGGTACCCACCTCCTTACTGTCCGCCACTGGCACCCACTTGAAAATCCGCAGGGATGTGTCGCCCACCGTCACCCACTTCTTCTCCCTGCAGGACACAACGTTGACGGGCCGGACCGGGCCTGGGGCACCACGGCAACAAACCCCGCCACTCCGCCACGCTCCGGTTGGCCCAAAGGAGCGTCAGTTCAGCACCCCGCAGCACTTTCCCCGCCCCCCGCACTGTGATTGGCTGGACCAACCGCCCATCACGCTGGCTTCCGTCCCCGCCCCGCTCCCATTGGCCACCGCCCCTCCGCCTACACCCGCTGGTTGGGCGCGCACTCCCGGGTCGCACCCTGCGGCGCGGTGATTGGCTGCGCGCGGGCGGCGGGGCCCTCCCCCCCGCGGGCCCGCCCTCACCATCTGCGGACGCGCTCGATGGCTGCCATCACCTTCTTGATGTCATCCTTGGCGCGGCTGCGGGTCTCGGCCCGCACCGAGCGCCCCGACATGGCGCGCGCAGCCCCGCAGCACCGGCCCCACTGCACCCGCCGCCGCACCCGGCCCCGCGCACGCGCCCTGTGCGGCCCGCCCGCTCGCTGCGCGTTCTGCGTCACCACGCCCGACACGCCCCGGCTGCTGCGCCTGCGCAGACGTACACGCCCCACAGCGGGCACGGAAACGACGCTCAGACGAGGCGAAAGTGCGCTACCATCTTCCTTTGCGGCAAGTTGTGCTCCACGCCACCCTGAGACCGCGGGCCTGGGGCATGGGGCCACCCTAAGTCCGCTGCACCGGTATAGCACTGCGCCGTCCCCTGCAGCAGAATCCCCACCGTTTAGCATCTAAGAAGACTGAGCTTTGGCAGGTCCTCTGGAAAAAATAAACAACCAAGCAAAAAACCTACCCCAAATCCATACAACTCCCGTTTCTAAGCTCAGGAAAACTCATAAGCAATGCCTTAGCAATCACTTCCAAGGGATACTGATGATCTATGCCCGGGGAGGAAAACAACACAAGACTGTGACAATGGGAGACCCCACTGTCCCCAGCCCTGTCCCGCCCATACAGAGCACGAAAGGAAGGACTCGGGCACTCTTTTTTATTACTGATGTAACACAGCTATTAAAAAAAGACATCCCCAAAGGCAGAGCACAGCTGCCTCCGGGTGTACGGGTAGCTTAGTGCTTCTTGCCATAGATAGCAGCCAATGCTTTGAGAGCGCTGGAGATCTGCTGCTCCAGCCTCTCCCGTGTGGCTTTGTTCCCAGTTTTTTTCAACATGGCCTCCATCTCCTCCACCACAGCGCGGTGCCCAGCAGTGTTGTGGAAAACACGGATCGTGTGGTCCCCACAGGACACAACATAGCGGCCAGTGGTGTCAAAGGCAAGGTCGGTGATACGGTGGCTGTGCACTCCAAGAAAACGCTCCTCCTCCTCGCCACGCCGAGTGTTGCACACCACAATGTCTGTGCTGCCTGCCACAGCGACCGTGCGGCTGTCAGGAGACAGGGCAATGCGGCATGGCTCCGGCACTGCACACTGCCCTGTCAGAAGCAGGTATGGGTTCTGCTGCTTCTTGTACTCCACATCTGTGCCCCAGAACTTCCACGTACCATCCTTTGACACAGTCGCCATCCTGCAGCCAAGAGAGAGCCTGATGAGTGCTTGGAAAAAGGGCGGCACCTCTTACCCTGCCCTGCCCATGAACCAGGAATCCTCTGTGGAGAGATATCTCTTGGGAAGGGTGAGTCTGTACACACATACAGTCTGTGTTCTCTTTCCAAAGTAAAAAAGCCTACCACTAGACCAGGCTGCTCCAAGCCCCTTCCAATAGAGCCTTGAACACTTCCAGGGATGGGGCAGCCACATCTTCTCTGGGCAACCTGTGCCGGGGCCTCACCATCCTCACAAACAAGATTTTTTTCCTAATATCCCATCTAACCCATTCTGTCAGCCTGAAACCATTCCCCCTTATCTTGTGACTCCAGGCCCTTGTAAATANGCCCCTCCTGGCTGGCCATCCTGCTCGTGAAAGGATATATTATTAAAAACACTTCATGATTATCACAAAATTGTTAGGGTTAGGAAAGTCCTCTGTTAAGATTGAGTCCAGACAAAAACCCAGCATTGCCAAGCCCACCACTACACCATGTCCCTAAGTCCCACATCTACACATCTGTTAAATCCTTCCAGAGATGGTAATTCCACCACTGGCCTGGGCAGCCTGTGCCAGAGCTGGACAACCGTTTCACTGAAGAAACTTCTCCCCAGTGTTCGACCTAAACCTCCTCTGAGACAACTTGAGACTGTTTCCCCTCATGCCAGTCCTTGTTCTGTGGGAGCAGAGCCCAACCCTCACCTTGCTGTCCCCTCCTGTCAGGGAGTTGTGCAGAGCAAGAAGATACCCCTTGAGCCTCCTTTTCTCCAGACTGTGCCCCCAGGTTTCTCAGCCATTCCTTATCAAACGTGCTCCAGACCATTCCCCAGCTCCACTGCCCTTCACTGGACATGCAAAGAAGGGCACACACACGGTATCGGGACCAAGAAAACTTGGGGAAAAGGAAACATTGGAAAATAGAAGTGAAAAAATCATTTATTGCAAGGGCAGTCAGATCTGAGTGGGCTGGTGCGGAGACCGCGGGTTAATGATGGGAATTGCTGGGACGCTCTAGCACTACCCTGAAGTGGCGTCCAAAGCACATCCCCGCTTCCCGCAGCCGCGGCGCATTCCTCCAGGCCCCTGCGGTCCCTGACGGCGAGGAGCAGCGGACAAAGCCCCCTGGGCGATCAAGGACCCTGGGGAGCGGGCAGAGCCCTGGGCCGGGGCCGCGGGCGGAGGCGCTGCACAGGGCGGAGGCGCCGCCCCGGGCTCCTCTTCCCTCCCACCCGCCCCGAGCCGGCTCCGCCGGGCGCTGCTGCCGCCTCGGCTCGGGGCCGTCCCCCGGCCGCTCTGAACAGCGCCGGCCACCGGCAGGGAGGAAAGTGTGGGGAACGGGGACCGGGCGCTGACCGAACTTGCCGGGGAACCGGGCTCAGGGCCGGCTCAAGGCCGTGGGCGCAGCAGGCAGTGACTGCCGGCACCGGGACCCGTTTAGCAGAAATCTCCCTACCCTTCTCTTTCCGCACCGCCCCTCCCCACCCGGCCCTGCGCGGCCGACATCGTGCTCTGCATCTGTATTTCAAACAGTTTAATTTTAAAAATATTCTATTCAGTGCTAAAATAACTTTCCACTTCCACGCGCGGCCGCGCCTCCAGCTTCACCAGGCTCGATCACGGAATCGGCGGGACATGCAGTGGCAGCGGGGGGAGAGTGGGGCTGGGGAGGGCAGCGGGTATTGGGGGGCGGCAGAGCCCCAAGGCCGAGAGCTTCCCGGGGGCTCCAGCACCCTGCCGCTTCCTTCCCCATCCCGGGGATAGCGGGTACCTAGGCCGGGGCAAGGGCCCCCAGCACAGGGCAGCGGCTCCCCATGTTCTGCCGGCTTCAGAGGGACCACAAATTCCACCCGGCTGGAGTTGTGCCCCACGGCAGAGCTGAGGCCGGTAAGTACCTGCCCTCTGGGAGGGGAAAGTGCTCCCCTCTCTCCCAGTATGAATGGCTTAAACTAGCAGCTTATTGCACAGCGTCCCAGTGGGTCCCTGCCGGCCTCCCCTCACTGCTCCCCACAACCACCTGCTCCCACAGCCGAGTGGACACATCACCCGGAGCAAGTGGAAGGTGGCTCTCTTGTTGCCAGCACCCAGGGGAAGGGCAGGCAGGGGAGCCACGAGCAGGCAAAGAGCATCTGCCAGCGTCCTGGGGACCATGGAGAGCAGGGAGCCCCATGGAGAACCCGCCCACACATGCAGCCCACCCAGTGGAGACCCCCAGCTCTAGGGCAGGGAGCAGGGAGAGAGGGAGCCAATAAATAGAGGCAAATTTGCAGGTACTGGCAGCAGCCCCATCCCTCGGGCAGGGCAGGGCAGGGCAGGGCAGGGCAGGGAAGGGTGCACTTGATGCGAGTGGTGGGAGCCCCGACTCTGGGGAAGGGGCAGGCTGGAGGGAAGCGCTGGTCCTGGGGGGCCAGATGGCTCTGCAAGGGGCTGACAAAGGTGCCGGGCCAGGCAGGTTAGCTCTCCGAGGCCGTGTGGCACACAGAGTTCTGGTCAGCACAAAATCTCTTCAGAGGTGGTGCACCAGAGTCCTCCTCCTCTTCAGTTACCTGCAAGAGCCAGAAGGTCACAGGTAGTGACACCGAGCTATGCACACCTAGACAAGGTTGTGTCACACCATGGGGACACCCCCGGGTGGTCACCTATGCACAGACCCCAGGGCACCAGGAATGGAAACCCACTCCAGCCAGAATCGTTGTTTTCCCACACCCCCATATCCTTCCCTCACACTTCAACACCTGATCTGAAGCAGGGGATAAAGACGAAAGCTCAGTAAACCAGAGGTTCTGGGAGCTCCCGGGGGGCACTCTGGGACTGCAGAGCAACTCCATCCACCAAGATGCTTCTGCTACAGAAGCAGTAACAAGGGTCAAAGGGCCAATCTGGATCCATGCACATTTAGAGGTGCTTTCAATCCCCCTTCCTTTACCTGAGTCTCAAGGGGGACCGGCTCTTCTTTTGTGAGAGTGGGAGGCTCATCTGCCACTTCTGAGGAAGGCAGGGAGGGCTCTGGGGAGAACAGGTGGGTCAACAAAAATGCAGGCCCAGCACCCAGCTCAGTGCTGAGCCAGAACAGAACACCTAGCAAAAGAAGTCCCCAGCGCCCTGTCAGCTTGCAGCAGTGCCAAGGTCACCCACCGGACCACCAACCGCCCTGGAGGGGCCTTCCCTGAGCCCAGTCATCTGCCTCCGCCCTTCCCAGTTCAGCACCCACCTTCCAGGGTCTCCTGCCCCAGGGTGGGAGGCTGCGAGTCGTCCGTGCGGAAGTCGGACGTGTGGGCAGGACTCATGGACTCGCTCTGCTGAGGACTAGGGCTGGAGTTGGGGCTGCTGTCCACCTTGAGCTGGTACACATCAGACAGTGAGCTCTGGTTGCTGTTCTCATCTGCAGAAACAGCACCTGGTGAAGAAGAGCACCTTGACCCAGGGGCACAGACAGCCCAGGGCAGCACTGAAAGCTGGGGTCTTGCTGAGAAGGCAGAGCACAGTCAGAGATTCAGTCAGGGGATTAACTGTTCCCCATCAGCCCAAGGGCTGTCAGGCACAGGACTGTGCTCCAGAACACAGTGGGAATCATAAGCACAACTGGCCAATGGAGAGAGAATGCTCCTGCCCTGGGAATGAGAATGAGCACTGCCAAATCCCACATCTGCATCTTGGGACGGCCCTGGGCATCCGAGTGCAGGAATCTCCTGCTGTGTACCAGGGTTTTGTTCCTCCTCTGTGAAGCAACATGTGGATTAATGCTCAGCACCTGTCTTCCAATGAGGAGGCAGGCTTGGCATACTCCTCCCCAAACTGCTGACCTGCAACATAACTCCACCACATCTCCTCGAAGTAGCAGCATATTCCTGATTTTCCTTAGCAGAGCAGGGGTTGGGCAGATGTGTACACTCTACTTCAGCAGTGAGTCCAGCACTGCCAGAGCCTCTCCTGGCTGTACCACAGTGCCCAGACCAAGAGCAAGGCAAGGGACATCCTCTGTCCCTTCACCCTTGGCTGCAGGTGGCTACTGGCCTATCCCCAGCAGAGACTGGAATGGGGGGAGAAGAAAACCCCACTTTTCCAGTTAGCTGTGAAGCTTCCCACAGAAGATACCAGAAACCATTAAGATTCTCTGACAGCAAAAATGAACAGTTTGGACAGGGACAATCCAGAAGTGGATCAGCCCAATTCCACAGCTCAACTCCACAGCTCTCCACTCCACACCAGTGCTCAGAGGCAAATACTGCTCTTCCCCATACAGGCAGCACACAGAACCAGCAACGTCCCAGCTGCTGTACAGCCTTGGAGTCTTTCCCCACGTTGAAGGGAGCTCAGCCAGACCTACCTTGGAACTCCAGAAGGAGGGAGGAGTTGGCAGAGGTGTCAGCTGGGAAGCCATTGGGCTCTCGGGCTGTGCTGCTACTCGATTTGGATTTCTCTTTCTTGAGAAGAAAAAGAAAAGCACAAACACAATGTCAGAGAAACACATGCTGCTCCAGAGGAACCATTCCCCTTTCTGTCTCCAGAAGCCCAAAGGGATATGCTCCAGATGGTCTCCTCCCTTGGCTTTGGGGGCACATTCCTAAGTCAGAGGCAAAACTCGATCTATGAAGGGACTGGGAATCAGGAAAGAGACGCCCATCTAGGAATGACACCGAGTAAAGCCAGTCCTTGGAGGAGTCAGGCAGAGTCTTAGGGGGAGCAGGACGGGGTTCAAGGAAGCTCAAGGGGCTCGACAGGGGCTTGATAGTTCGGGGGGGGGCTCAGATCGGCTGAAGGTGCTCTTTGGAGCTGGGGGAGGGGGCCCAAGAAGGCTTGATAGGGGCTCATGGCGCTTCAGAAGGGACTCAGCGGGGTCTGGGTGGGTTCGGGGGTCAGCTTAAGGAGGGATCAGGGGCTTGAGGGTCTCAGAGGATCTCTACAGGGCAGGAGGGGCTCGGTGGGACCTCAAGGGTGCTCAGCAGGGCTGGGAGGGCTCAGCAGGGACTCGGGTGCTGGCTCGGGGAGGACTCAGAGCGGTTTTGTGGCGCTCGGCAGAACTGGGGGGCTCGGAGGTAGCTCGGGGGGCTTCGGTGGTCGGTAGGGCTGTGAGAGTCAGAGCTCAGCTTAAGCGGGGTTGTTAAGGGAGTTAGGCTGGCCGTGGGCGGTGACTCCGGGCTCGTCTCCACGCGCGGTACCCACCTCCTTACTGTCCGCCACTGGCACCCACTTGAAAATCCGCAGGGATGTGTCGCCCACCGTCACCCACTTCTTCTCCCTGCAGGACACAACGTTGACGGGCCGGACCGGGCCTGGGGCACCACGGCAACAAACCCCGCCACTCCGCCACGCTCCGGTTGGCCCAAAGGAGCGTCAGTTCAGCACCCCGCAGCACTTTCCCCGCCCCCCGCACTGTGATTGGCTGGACCAACCGCCCATCACGCTGGCTTCCGTCCCCGCCCCGCTCCCATTGGCCACCGCCCCTCCGCCTACACCCGCTGGTTGGGCGCGCACTCCCGGGTCGCACCCTGCGGCGCGGTGATTGGCTGCGCGCGGGCGGCGGGGCCCTCCCCCCCGCGGGCCCGCCCTCACCATCTGCGGACGCGCTCGATGGCTGCCATCACCTTCTTGATGTCATCCTTGGCGCGGCTGCGGGTCTCGGCCCGCACCGAGCGCCCCGACATGGCGCGCGCAGCCCCGCAGCACCGGCCCCACTGCACCCGCCGCCGCACCCGGCCCCGCGCACGCGCCCTGTGCGGCCCGCCCGCTCGCTGCGCGTTCTGCGTCACCACGCCCGACACGCCCCGGCTGCTGCGCCTGCGCAGACGTACACGCCCCACAGCGGGCACGGAAACGACGCTCAGACGAGGCGAAAGTGCGCTACCATCTTCCTTTGCGGCAAGTTGTGCTCCACGCCACCCTGAGACCGCGGGCCTGGGGCATGGGGCCACCCTAAGTCCGCTGCACCGGTATAGCACTGCGCCGTCCCCTGCAGCAGAATCCCCACCGTTTAGCATCTAAGAAGACTGAGCTTTGGCAGGTCCTCTGGAAAAAATAAACAACCAAGCAAAAAACCTACCCCAAATCCATACAACTCCCGTTTCTAAGCTCAGGAAAACTCATAAGCAATGCCTTAGCAATCACTTCCAAGGGATACTGATGATCTATGCCCGGGGAGGAAAACAACACAAGACTGTGACAATGGGAGACCCCACTGTCCCCAGCCCTGTCCCGCCCATACAGAGCACGAAAGGAAGGACTCGGGCACTCTTTTTTATTACTGATGTAACACAGCTATTAAAAAAAGACATCCCCAAAGGCAGAGCACAGCTGCCTCCGGGTGTACGGGTAGCTTAGTGCTTCTTGCCATAGATAGCAGCCAATGCTTTGAGAGCGCTGGAGATCTGCTGCTCCAGCCTCTCCCGTGTGGCTTTGTTCCCAGTTTTTTTCAACATGGCCTCCATCTCCTCCACCACAGCGCGGTGCCCAGCAGTGTTGTGGAAAACACGGATCGTGTGGTCCCCACAGGACACAACATAGCGGCCAGTGGTGTCAAAGGCAAGGTCGGTGATACGGTGGCTGTGCACTCCAAGAAAACGCTCCTCCTCCTCGCCACGCCGAGTGTTGCACACCACAATGTCTGTGCTGCCTGCCACAGCGACCGTGCGGCTGTCAGGAGACAGGGCAATGCGGCATGGCTCCGGCACTGCACACTGCCCTGTCAGAAGCAGGTATGGGTCCTGCTGCTTCTTGTACTCCACATCTGTGCCCCAGAACTTCCACGTACCATCCTTTGACACAGTCGCCATCCTGCAGCCAAGAGAGAGCCTGATGAGTGCTTGGAAAAAGGGCGGCACCTCTTACCCTGCCCTGCCCATGAACCAGGAATCCTCTGTGGAGAGATATCTCTTGGGAAGGGTGAGTCTGTACACACATACAGTCTGTGTTCTCTTTCCAAAGTAAAAAAGCCTACCACTAGACCAGGCTGCTCCAAGCCCCTTCCAATAGAGCCTTGAACACTTCCAGGGATGGGGCAGCCACATCTTCTCTGGGCAACCTGTGCCGGGGCCTCACCATCCTCACAAACAAGATTTTTTTCCTAATATCCCATCTAACCCATTCTGTCAGCCTGAAACCATTCCCCCTTATCTTGTGACTCCAGGCCCTTGTAAATAATCTCTCTCCATCTTTCCTGTCAGTTCCCTTCAGGTCCTGGAGAGCCACAATTACATAACCTGAAGCCTTCTCTTTTCCAGGCTGAGCAATCCCAATTCTCTCAGCCTTTCCTCATAACAGAGCTGCTCCATCCCTCTGATCATCTTGGTGCCTCCTCTAGACTCACTCCAGCAGTTCCATGTCCTTCCCATGCTGGGACCCCAGAGCTGGAGGCAGCTCTGCAGGTGGGGTCTCACCTGAGTGGGGCAGAGGGGCAGAATTCCCCTGTCCCTTGTTGTCCACACTATGGGATCAACCCAGGGGAGTTTCTGGGCTGATCATGTCCAGCTCTCACCCACCAGTACCCCCTGGCTGCTCTCAATCTGTTCACTCCGAGCTTGGATTGATACCGATGGTTGCCCTGTTCCAGGTGCAGCATTTGGTCTTATTAAACCACATGAGATTCCTACGAGCAGGGAATATAGAGGAGTCAGATTTGGCTGCCAAGGGCAGTGCTTTACCCCCCATAGCTCAGTGGTGCAGCTGGTTAACCCTGGAAGAGATGAACTTACATGTCCTGAAGGTAACTCCGAGCAGCTAACACACACATACCTTCTTGAGTCGTTGGAGAAGGAAAAGGATTGTACACCAGCAGTGTGGCCTTTCAACTCAAAAGCCCTGGTCACCTCCCTGAAGTCTCCATTCTTGCTAAAACACACCTCCCACACCTTCACATCAGGGGTAAAGCCACAAGACGCCACAAACCTGCGTGAAGGAACAAGCAGAGACAGAGAGGTTGCCTCTTACAGAGGACCTGAACAAGGCAGGGCCACAGCTCTGCAAACCTGTCCTGACCCCTGCACTCAAGTCTGGCCCTGAATTTCCACTTTTCCCTGAAACCTGCCCTTCCCTGAACACTAAGAAAAGGTACCAGAACAACTCAGGAATGAGAAACTCTCCATCAAAGTAAAAGAGTTAAATGCTTTTGAGCCCAAAACTCCTCACGCCAGGAGCAAGGCAAATCAACCTACAGCAGCAAGTGATTTTCCTGATAAACAGATCTCCCAGAAATAAAATCTTTACTTTTATAATTAACCTTTAAGAGGTCACAGACAAGTTCAAAATGCTGTTTTCTTTGCATAGGCCATTTGCTCTGTCCCACCTCTGCTACCTGAGGCCAAAGCTATTCTCAGGTTACCAGAACAGCAGCGCTGAGGCAGAATAGCAACACACGAGTGCCTGAGCCTACAAAGCTCCATCTCCCAGGGGGCCAAAATACCTTTTTATACTGTGGAAGCCTCAGAAAACTGCATTACAGTAACAACTAACTGCCGATGGTCTGAACTGATGCTATTCTGAGCAAAGGAGCAGTCTGGCATCCTGCTTGTCACTCACCTCCCACAGGGTGACACTGTGGCATAGGCATTGTTCATCTGGTTGGTGTTAATGCTGGCCAGGACTTCTCCCTTTGGGGTCCAGATCAGGATGGTCGTGTCACTGGAAGCTGTCATGATAAACTTCCCTGGAGAAAAAAGGCAAAGATCAGGGGAGCCCCCAGACCCAACGCTGCCACAGACTCAACGAACCCCCAGGACAACCTCTCCCTGCAGCTGGAGAAAACCAGCAGCAGCACCGAAATCCAAGGAGTTTAAGTCTCCTAGGATAAAGAGCAGTATCGGAAGACTCAGCTCCTGGTTATGCCTCAGTACTCCTCTGGCTCCTGAGCAGGCAGCAGGCACTGAGTCCATGTGTGCCCTGTACTCAAGACCCTGAGCACCACGAGCAGAGCTAGGAGCCCCATTGTGTTGTGCCACAAACAGGAAAAAGCACACTCCTCCTGAGCTGCACGCCCAAAATCAGCTCGAGGATAAGCACCTTTCAAGCTGGGGATTGCAGGCAGGCAACTGAATCCCAGTCACACCACCATGATCCATGATTGCTGGTTGTGCCTATGCTGGACTCCTGCTTGTTCCCACTTCCCCTTTGCCAGCTCAGCCCAGGCAGGGAGTTGCATGTTTACCTTCCAGCTACTTGTTGCAGGTTTAAGTTTTCACTTTCACAGCTCCAGTCTGTTAACATTTTCCCTGCTCTCCTATTAGAGAGGTGAATTCACATCTACCTGCTTCCAACTGCCACTGGCACATACCTGATGCATTAATCCATCAAGCCCTTACTAAAATGTAATTTCCACCCACCCACCCTCACCTCTGTTCTAGATGATCCCAGAAGTTCAAGATAGACCATATGAACTCACTAGAGAGATTTATGACTGGTTAAAGAGAGACTGGCGGCCCAGAGAACAGCGATCCTCTCAATACTGAGACCAGACCTCTTTGCAACAGCATCCCTGAAAATGTAAATTAAGAGACTGTGCATATCGGGGACCTGGTTACAGGGACATAATTGGTGTGAAAATAACACCTTTTGGTTCAGTCGGTAGCAAATTATGTAAAAAAACCTAAGAGACTACCGAGTTCAGTAGTGGTGCTGTACACACACCTAAGAATGCCAAAGCTCCAACACCTTGAATCCAGTAGCTTCACAAGCAATTCAGAGCTGATCTGGAGAGGTGAGCAGGTCATTTCCATACCTGTCTCTGCAATTGCTATGTTAATGACAGGAGCCTTGTGCTTCTTTGGGAAGTCCCCAGCAGTCGCACTGAAGGTGAAGCTGCCATCATCCTTCTTGGTCATCTTGTAGACACGAATAGTCTCAGCATTGGCCAGCCAGACAATGAAAGCCCTGTGGAGAGACAGGCTCTGAGCCCCAGCTCAGCCCAGGTCATTCAGGGGCACCTGGGAAGAGGGATATGCTGGCAGGTAAAAATATTTACAAGGGCACCAAGTTCTCTCCCTGTGTTGGCTTAACTGCAACACTGAACAAAAAAGAAGGGAATTTATTATCCACACCAGGAAACAAAATCCCTTCCTCTCCTTCTAAAAGAGACTACCTCAAAAGGCAAAACACACTTTTCCACCAAATTTCGCACCCAGCAAGAGCTCCCCTGACCACCGGAGAGACTCAGCAGCACATTCCAGCTGCAGAGTCAGCTGGCAGTGACCTCAACAGGCACCTTCCATGGGTACAGCAAGCTGGGCACTGGGATATTTGCCCTGAAAAACACATTAACACACCAGGAGCTGGACTAGATGATCTCCAGAGGTCCCCTCCAACTCGAACTATGGTGATTCTGTGATTGAGTGCCAGCTGCTCTCAGGCCACCAATCAGTGATACTGTGATGACCCAGTGAGAGATGCTGCCTCCACCCATCCCAGAGCAACGCCACTGATCCCATCACAGCTCGGCCGTGAGACTGGCGGCTCTGCAGGACATCCCGGTGCCAGTACAAAGTCCGGCCGTACCGTGAGTCAGGGCTGAGGCGGACGAACTCGGCGTGGTCCAGCCCCACGTTGGCGCGCAGACAGCGGTGCTCCCGCCCCGCCAGGTCCCGGGTGCTCCACAGCCGCACCGTGCGGTCCTCAGAGCATGACGCCAGGTACTTGCCATTGCTGCTGAAGTCCAGGCAGGTGACCGGGCTGCTGTGGCCCTGCAGATAGAGAGTGG